ATCAGATCAGCGAATCAATATAATTGGAGATTACTCATCAGTTACTAATATTTACTTCAATCATTAAGGTGACACGATGTAATCTTACGTAAAATTACGCGTGAAATTAATTTTCAAAATCAGCTTTATCGGCTATTAAAATCTTCACTTTTTTATTCTTTACAGTGACGAGAAGATTTAAGGAATTACAGGAGAAGAATCAAGTCATATATTTCCTTAAACCGGATCCAAGTGTCTGGGTTAAAGCGTTTTCCTCGGAATCTTCCTATTCCGGGTAATTTTACACGACCGGCCGTGTATAAATCATTATCTTACAAAAAAGTCCTGCATGTGACATACACACACAATGACAAATATTTCGCCACTTAAAATGAAAGTCCAAGTACGTGTCCACTTGTGAATGATAACGAGAGCACTGGAAGGATGTTTAAAGTTAAAATAATTTCGTCTTTGATAAAATGCGCTCGTTACGTTCCGATCCTCTCGTCATCTTTTTTTCTTTCTTTAAATAGACTTCCGCGTACTGTACTGACAATGAGTCAAGTCCGTGTTATGCGGATCCGTAACGGCGACGGTACGCGTGCTCGCGTCTATCACAAGCGGCAAGCGGCGAAATGGCAAGCGCAAGGCATTTTCTCGCGCGACAGACAACGGCCTACCTTGTTGAGCTGCGGGTCCCTGATGTGGTCGAGGCCACGCAGAAGGCCGGCGCAGGCCGCGTCGCCGCTACCTCGCTGGCCCAGCTGATCGCGCTCCAAGCTCGACATGGTTGACGTTTTGCTCCTACTACAGTCGGGCTGGCTACTGCTCTGGGTCCTGCGAACGAATGCCACTTGTCTGAGCGGACCGCGCGCAAACTCGCGGTAAGGTGGTAGGACAGGGAACAGGCAACGCGATAGCGAAGTGAGGTGACACGGTGACGTGACGTGACGCGACATGACGCGTCGCGTCGCGTCGCGTCGCGTCGGCGAAATCAAAGGGGTAGAATAAATCAACACCGCCGCGCGCCGTGTGCCAGCGACCTTCAATCATTGATCCTTTAACCTTAAGCGCATTTTACTCATTGTACTATACGTTGACACGTAACTGATAGACACAACATAATCAACGTCGAACGCATCTTATCAGTGCTTCAAATCTTTAAAATATTGCATCGTATTATATTGTGTAATATAATACACAATTTACGTTTGCACATTCAATAAGGATAAATATCGAACGTGGCGTTTTCAATAAAATTTCTGCAGAAAATTTCAGAATATTTATTTGTATCGGACATATTCGATATCGGGATCGAGTATATTCTGGGGGTGCAATCTTGTCAGATACGCACCTGCGAGGAGGCACGGTTTAACGCACGCGCATTTATCGCGCAATCACGCGTTGTGCATTTGCGGAATAACAAATGTCATGTTTGATTCATCGTGAGAAAAACATGCAAACGACTGCAGACATGTCGATATTAGAATTTTAGAAAACACTATCGTGACGGGGACAAAGTTCGACAGGGTCCGCGAATGATGTAGATTGATGACGTATATACGTTCCCGTACTCTCTTTTGCCCTGACTAGATCAAAGTTTAAAGTGTACGTCCAATCGTCGTGACTGCGCATTATTTTCCCTTTGCAAAATTTTATTGAAGTAGCTGCATCGTTACGAGAAAAAATAATTAAGAAATTACATTAACGATAAATATTAACGAAAAGTTAGAAAAAAGGATAGGAGAACTTTTCCTTCAACAAAGTTTGTGCAACAAAGATTAATTTACTCGCTCTGGTAGTTGGTTGAGCTCATATAATTGAGCTAGCAAGCTGGTGATGATTTGCGCGTGTCCGAATTGCGTAATAGGGAAAAAACTGCGGTCAGTGCGGTCTTTCGCCTGACGTAAGAAAAGTAAGAAAAGTAGGTAAGAAAGAAATTCAACGAAACGGCGATGACGCGAGGGATTTTGCGCGTTTCTCGGGCAACGTCCACGGACTTCGATGCGGAATTTACATCGATTTTACCTGTTGTTGGACGGCTGATGCTGACGGTAGATTTCTGCAGGTTCGAGGTCGTAGGTATCGTAACGCAGGCCGCTCGATTGACGGAGGAAACTCGTCAAGTGACAGCCGAGCGGCGTCAAAAGCTGCTTCGTAGACATGCTTTGCATAGACTAAACGTCTCGCGGCTTCTCGCGGCTGTTTTCTTATCTCCCCCGTACAGCGTATCCGGGGGCAAGGACGTATCTCGCTCATATGTGAGCGCCAATATTTGATCAGAATTTACTTTCCCCCTCTCGAAGCTGGATCGCGAAATGGAAAGATTGATCGGAAGACGGAAGACACCGTGGTGTCTCATGCTTCGTGTTTATCCTTGCACAAAGTTATCAGCGTGGACAAGTGATGCGGTCGATGAGACGCGATAACGCGACGCGTACGTGTCGCGATGGCCTTAAACTCTTTTAGTCACCAGCGTGATATACCGATCGCACGATTCACGCGATGCATCTTTAGCCAATGCGAAATTCAGACGGCATTATCGTGTAAAAGTTATTACAAGATATGTAAAATGAGGAAATATTAAAAATTCTTTTACCAATATGAGGCAATATGAAGTACAAGTTGAGTCACATACATTTCCGACGCAAATATCTTTTTCTAAACGTCCCTAAATGATGCAACCACTCAAAAACTAATTATTAGTAAGATTGAGAATTTAAGATATATTTATCCTGTGCAGGAATAAGTTACATAATATATTTATAGCTTAAGCCAATAATAATGATCTAAAATGTTAGTTTTATTTATTCTGCGTTACTGTTGTTACAACATTTCACATCAAAGTGCTTATTTTTAAATTCTATTTTTTCTTTCTTTAACGATACACATTCTAAAATCCTATTTATCATCAAGAGAGAGAGAGAGAGAAAGAGAGAGCAAGTTAGCCGCAATTAAGGTAAGTACAAACAAGACAAAGGCACTTACATCCTGCCGTTTCGTTGCGCATTATTGTCTTTGGAGTGTCCGCTGCCCATTTCGTTGACGAATCGACACTTAAACAATTAGCTGGACGATTTGCTAGTTGATTTGCTTGTCTGGATTTCGTATCGATATCGCGGCGCGAACACGTCATAACTCTCTGCGCTAGCTAGGGCAGGGAAGAGCGCGCCGTATTTTGCAGCTGTTGACAAAATCAATCCCGATAAGGGAAGAGAGATTTTTCTCGAGAAGAAATGTGAGCCGCCCAGCTCCGATCGCACGCCACGCCGGTGAGATGTGAAATCGACTGCCCCGATCACGAGCAGATCACGAGCGTGACTAGTGGGTTTTGCCGTCGGATCGTCAAGGAGGAGAACGTGGTGCTCGCCCGTCGTGTTGCAGCCTTTGCTCTAGTTTATCTAGATTCCCCCCGTCTCCTTCGAAGAGAAAATCGGGCGAGAGAAGCGTATTTTCGGAGGGGGAACTGACACTTCCTCTGGTCTGACATTTACAAAGAATACTTCTTTTTAACGGCTTTCGCGATTTATTTTAATCGAACTGCCGTCGTCCACGGCGGTGTTTGTAGTTGCGTAATCTTTCGTTTGGGATCTTTTTTTGCTTAATGACACGACAGAAATTGCGTACTTACGTGCGTACGAAAGTTTTCCTGTCGTGCACAGAGAGAGATGACTTTGCGCGACTGAAAGAGATTTTTTGGTTTGTCAAAACTCAATCGCGTACGTCACATTGCACTATCGTGTGCAATTTACCTGAGAAGGTAGTTCTTCGCTCGGGTCTTCCCGAACGCGAACAAACTCTTTCTGACAGCCATTCGTCGACGATAGCGGCGTGGTCTCTGTCCTGAATATATCGTTATCTAATCGATAATCGTTTCTTGTGAATCTTGTGATATGTCTAGTGGATAGTCGCGCAAAGAGACAAAAAATCTTTATTATTTTGCACATCACGAATAACATGGCTTGTATTAATATAAGAATCTTTTTAAACAGCTAAACAAACGTCTCAAAAGTATGAATAAAAACATGCATAAAGAAGTCGAATAAGCATTTAATTTTCGCAAGAAGCATAAAGGCCGAAGCATGCACATCAGACTTTTGCATAACGCATAATATAAGTATAAGAAAATAATTGATTGGTCCATATAAGAAAACAGACCAATCCATTTTCTTATGCTTGTACATACATTATGCTTCGGCCTTTAAAATGCTTAATGGACATTGTGTTAAATTGTTTTTTTGCATATTCTGCGACAGATTTTCGTTATATTGTTAATTATTCTTCAATTTGAGAACGTCAATTGTGCATCGGAATGCGGATACATTGAAATTTAATAGGGCTCAAAGTAGATTATTTTTATTCTCAAAAGTGTAATTGTACGTTTCATTATCTACTATCAGGATCAATATATATAATATATATCATGTAAATAATATAAATATTATAAATCTTTATGTTTGAAAGGAACGCGAATAACGATACCTTCGATCGTTGCGAGAGTTTTTTCCCGTTGTTCTAATTGTTTCTTAATGGCGCGGTGAATGCATGGTGAAAGTCATAATGTATTACAATTACAATGTAATTGAGGAGAGGAGAGCGAAAGAATCTCGAGCGGCGGAACGTGATTGGCCAGATCCGGGGGCTCGACTCACGACCCAATCGCGTTCGACCTTTCGCCAGTCGCCCGACTGTGCGGCGGCTCGGGCGGCTGGCGCGAGTACGATAAATATTAACTTATTTTATATATTTATATTATACATATGTTAAATATCTAATAGCCCTCTCTCCCTTTCTCACTTTTTTTCTTTCCGACACTGCCGATAAAACATCATTTTGGTGCAATATACATATATGTATATGTATACATTTGCAGATGTAGCACGGACGCGCACCAAAATAATATACATTGTTTTATCGGCGGTGTCGGAAAATGAACGTGGCTACGTAGTACCACGTTCGAAAATGGATGTAACATACTGGCGGTAGTGTATACAGGGGCTGCCGGCTGCCGGCTGACTGGCTGACAGTCATGACAGTCTCACAAAAAAGACTAGCAATATAGCATCATACGCGTCCTTGCGCGTGTTGTTTACGACGTATATCGTTTATAATACAAGGACGTAGGATATTTTATGAATTTTTCTTATTGAAGAGCTGCGAATACACATATAATGGCGCAAATAGGGAACGTGGTAAGTGAATTATTCTTTCCACACGTCGACGTTCACGATAATAATTTTATAACCTAGACGATCATGTCCAACGCGAACAAAACTACAATGTAAGAATTGTTGAATAATTGGCAATTATTTAAGTTGAAAATCTTACTTGATTAAGATTTGTTCGCTTATTTAGTAAATAATTATTACAATAATATTTATTAGATAATTCCTCCCTTGTTTTATTTATATTTTATTTGATACTTGTATAAGTTAATTTGTGAGAAGTGTTTGATTATATATGTAATGAATTATACATATATTTAAGACGGCAGATCAATTAATCGCTGGTACCAGCGTGCTGTCGAGACCCGCTGAAGAATTTGAAAATGATGTGAGTACAACGTCCAAGTAATATCTACTATATATTGCAAGAAAACATTATAAATATATATGGAAATATTTTTGTTCTCTTTGTTTCCATCATATTTCTATTTTAGCCGTCTCTGGAGGCAATGTGGGCAATGAAAGCCATGGAACATGCAGAGGTTTATTTCAATGTAAGTTATACAGTTATTACACACGTAGAAGTTATGAGATAAGTAAAGTATATGTGATAGAAATATCGTCTTTCAGATTTTATGCTCGGTTGATCCAAAGCTTTTGAAACTGACACCTCACGACGAGCAGATCTATAAGACTTTTAAGGATACCTTTCCCAGTATGAAAGTGGATAAAGTGGACGAAGACGAATTGAAATCTCTAGAGGGGAAGACAAAGTGGAGGTTCTTCTGTGAACAGTTTAAGGACATTGTGGAGGACTATAGTTTTGGTACATTATTGAGAGCAGATTGCACCGGAGATTATTCGGAGCAGAACAGCATACTAACAACCAGGATACAGTTTTACGCTATAGAACTCGCAAGGAACAGAGATGGCTTCAATGATGGCGTAAGAGAAAGATTCAGACCGAAAAGGACTGTAAGAAAATAGCCAATTTTAATATTACATTAACATTATTGGAAACCGATTCAGATATACAATTTTTCTATTACTTTTTTTTTAATGTAAGAGACAAATAATGCGAGAGAGAATTTTGTAAGATATACATATAATAAAAGACATATATAATAACGTAAGCATTAAATTAATTTAAATATATTTACCATCTCTGCGCGCATGTTCCATGGCTTAATGATGGGATAAACTTTCTCTTCTCAATTTTATGTAACATCGAAATAATTTAGAAAAAGACATAATATGCCGGATGAATGAATACCTAGAACTATAGTAAAAGGCTGCAGCAAATTTCCTAAGAAAAGAGAAGATTAAAAGAAGGGTATAAAATAAAAATACATAATAATCTAGGGCACAGAAAATGTTTGATAACGATTAGTAAGGTCAAAAAGGTAATAAGGTAAAAAAATGTACAAGAGCGGTCATTTCTAGAATATATTGCTATATACACACTTTAATAACCAAAAACAAACATTACAGCAATAATATCGTTATTAATATAATATCATATGCAATAATAGAATCGTTTATCAATCGTAGTGAAAACACCGAAAACCTTGTTTCTTCTCTTACTGGAAAGAACAATGCGTACGATTTGTCTTCTTTTTATTATTAATAATATTAATTCGCATAATGGCGCTCGATCGACCGCACTCGCGTGCTGTTGTGGATCTTCAGACAAAAAAAAAAAAAAAGAAAATTGATAGACGTTCGCCACACAATAATATATTGGTGCGAATGCGCTATCTCGAGAGTGCGGTCGACCCGCGTGCCGATCTCGATCGTTATCATAGAATAATAAATATGACAGTGCGATATCTAAAAAATCTGTCTTTTTATGCAACTTGCACATTCAAATACAGATGTATTCGAAAAATGTACATTGTTTTATTGCCCTTACGAACGTTAAGGGGATATAAAAGCTGCCAAATCGTTATATGGCGAGTATACTTTAGAGGCAGGATAATATACCCTTTTCAATCTTTGCATTTTAGTGACAAGCGCGCAAAGGAAGAAACAATCTTCGAAGAAAACCGCGTCGTTTATCTTCTTTCGTATCATTATCTGATACGCGATAATCACCTGAAATAATCGTAATTTGATTATTTGAGATAATCATCTGAAAATTGCTCCTCTTTCAAATTATGAGTCATCTAACGATTTGGCAATTCCGAATTCTCCTTGAGTCTCTATACGAGCGGTACATCTGCGACTTCTCTCCCAATCTCGCTCATTCTCTCTCTCTCTCTCTCTTTCAAACTCTTGCTTTCTTTTTCTCGCGTTCGCTCTGTATCTCTGACCGCTAAAAAAATATTCGATACAAGATCATATGAGAATTACAAAATAGAGCTTTGAATAAAATCTGCTTTAGATGAGCGTCTTTCGTATGAGCGTAATTATAAGTAAATTAATTAAATA